TCTTGACTGCACCTTTGAATGCCTCGGTAATCCTTCCTGTTTGTCCTTCAACCTGGCAGCTTACAAAGGAGCAGATGAAAAGGTTTTGTGCGAGTTACTTGGGTCAGAAAAGTACAGTAATCCCAAGCAGTTTAAAAGTAACAACAATTCGCATCACTTTTCCATCAAGGTGACGTTAACTACCTGTTTATTCATAGTAAACATTTATACCATGCATGTACACGAACCAAATTTGCAGTAAAAATAAAACAACTAGTTGACTTACGTCCTGGTAAAGCTAAGAGACCCGCCAGAATGATTCTTGTTAGAAATTTCCATCTTTTAAGAAGAATAGAAACTCAGGGAATCGTCAACGTGCCTTACATTATTCGCGAAGAACGCGGTTTTCTCTGGTCCAGGCCGGACGTTAGGCTAAGAAGGGAGAGAAACCTCTCCCCGTAGCGTAGCGTCCGGCCTGGTGGAGAAACCACTGTTCGCAGGGTATTTTTAGCAGTAACATTTCCTCACATTTCCAGTAGCTTTCTTGAACTCTTGTTTAAGTTTCAGCCACAAGTTGATGTAATTTTACTCTGTTTGCCCATTATCGCCAATAAACAGATGCAAGAAAAAGCACGTATTAATTAAATTATCTACGCTAATCCCCATAATTATATAATTCCTCGAAGAATTCAAAAAGTCAAGACCAATGATATTCCCTTTTGTAATCATTTTTTTAGTTTTTGTAACCTTTTTCTCTTTATACGCCCGATTAATAATTTTGAGGAGGAAGTTGATGTTGGTCATTCAGCTTTGGACTTAGGGGCTGTCTACATGAAGGGAGGAAGATCCTAAAAGGTGGAATAACTTTACGTTGGGTTTACATGCAGAAATTTCGGCCCGTGAGTTGTCCAAGTAGAGAAGGATAGAGAAGGAATTAAAAATAGTGGACGACAAAATAAAAACTGCAATTTGGGTCCTGCTGCTCTCTATACTGGCGTAAATCACTACCTTTCAGCTGAATTAACACAATAATCTGCTCGTGGATTACTACAAACGAAATGGTCGTCATTTATTGCCGTAATTAGCCACTGAACGACCCGCCGACATTTTTGTCGCGTTTGTCCCTAGTACTATAGGATCTTCCTAGCGAAGGCAGCTCACATGGTGCTAGGATCTTCCTAACTCTCAGCTAGGAAGATCCTAGCGCTAGCGACAAGTACAACCCTTTGTATGTAAACTGAATACAGGAAACATATGGCACTAGGATGATCCGCCCTCTAGGATCTTCCTCTCTTTATGTAAACAGCCCCTTCATTTTGGGTTAGAAACTATACTGTGATTTCCACAGTGTATTTCCAATTTTAACGCTCTTGCAGTAGACATATAAAATTGACTTTTTGTCAAGGTAGCTGTTAAAACTATGTTTATACCGCTAAAACGTACTTTTCATCATTTCAGACTCCATGTATGCCTTCACCGTGCCATAACGGAGGCACTTGTGTAGCGAACTACAAGTATCACACGTTCTACTGCCGTTGCAAAGAAGGTTTTATTGGAGAATTTTGCGAAGGTAATTGTCACGTACGGCACGGATTTACACTGGAAAAACTAATTTTGTAACTCCATTTGTGGTAAATAAGGAGGGACTTTATAGTTCAGTTAATGGTTGCTTCTTTTTTCAGCGATTCCAAATTCTTGTTCAATCGTCTATGATCAGCTCCCAGAGAAGAAAGTAACACTATTTTAATAGTAATATATAATATGTTAAAATGTATTCACTGTTTATCTCTGGTACTTAGTACAATACATAACCATGTACGTATTAAAGTGTATTCAAAAAGTGTTAAACAAAAGATGGCCCTTAAGGGACTTGTCAGAAATTTGCAGGGGGGGAGGGGGGGTCGGAATTTTAAATTTGGGTTCGGAAATGAGGTGACCCATCCCTGCAATGGGATTGAAATTTGCTGACCCTCCTCTTGACCTTGGCCTAAAATATCATGACCCTCCCCCTCTTGTATAAATGATAAAATCTAGTTCTTGCAATACACTAGGGTGAGTCAGTATTATGAAAGCTCAAAATATATTTTTAATCTGTTCTTTGTAATGCCATATACGTACATTTTAGATGACAGCATAAAGAGTCCCACTCTGCCAGTCCTGACAGCTGATCACTGAACTCTCCTATTTCTACGAGGTTTTTTTTTACAAAATAAAGAACTTCGTTTTTCTTCTGTGGGTGAACCGCTACATGATCACGGACACATATTTGCATGACCCTCCCCTTTTTAACGGCTCGTTTTTCATGACCCCTCCCTTTTCTGCAGTCTCAAAAAGTTGTGACCCCCCCCCTCTGTTTCCACCCCCCCCCGCTACTCCCTGCTAATTTCTGACATGTCCCTAATGTAAAAAGAAAACTCCCTAAAGACTGAATCTAATAATATTCCATAAATATTAAAAATCTAGGTATGTTCAAAATTATACAAAAAAGAGCAAAGACGAACTGAAAGAACGCGTACGCTTAAAATTTCAAACTTGAGATTTCCGCCCCGACGACCTACTCAGGTAAATCTTTTCATTCAGTCTTCAACAATTCTTTCAAAAATGACAGATAGCATTACAGTTAGATCCCTTGGATTGCAACTGACAATTGTGGTCGCTCCTTGTTCTTTTTGAAGCTAATTCGGAGAAGTCCTGGATGGGAAAACGAGATTATTTAAAGAAGAGACCCAGATTTGTAGCACTTGATCAGGAAAAAAATATAATCTTGGTTTGTTCGTTTTAAATGCATGGCACAACGTTCCTGCATGGTACTGCATTTCGCCTGTCTTCTGGCCGGGGGCTAGGCTCGAGGCCTCTTCTCTAACTTTTTCCAGGATAACAACTGGAGCGGCATACTCCAGGATCGGTTTTACTAGAGACCTGTATAACAAGGAAATTTCAGGTGCGCTTTTTGGCCCAAGCATGCTCTTTATCAGGCCAAAAACCCCGTTAACTAGTATAGATGACGACCTCGTGGATATGATCGCACCGCGAAAGGTCGTAGGATATGGAAGTGATACCGAGATCTTTGATATTTTTCACACTCTCAAGAATTTCGCCATTTAATTTAAGCCTATACCTATCTTACGACTTATATTGTTTGTGATTTTTTCTCTGTTTCACATTTATCTGGGTTAAACATCAACTGCAAAGTTTTTTGCACTATTCTTTAAAGCCGAAACAAGTCAGATTGGAGCACATATGCATCATCAGGAATGTTGCCTGTCTCTCTATAGAGTTTAGTTTCGTCTGCATATCATTTCACAGTTAAGGAAAATCCAGTAGATATATTGTTGACGTACAGGCATTATGATCAAGATGGTCATGGTCCCTAGGATTGTACCCTTAAGTACGCCTGATTTTACCTGCAGTCCATGAACTAGTCAATTATATTCAAAGTAGAATTATAGTAGTTGCTAAAAAATATATCTACGTGTCCCAACTGTTCATCAGTAGGATGCCTAAAATACGTGCAATTCCACAATTGGTTTCGACTCCATTAAATCCTTTACCAATTGCAAAACATTTTAGGAGGAGCACCCCCCGTGTGAGCACAGTCGCGGACAACACATATAAGTGAGGAAAATAACGCAACGCAAATGTACACGCAACTTAAATAAATAAATAATAACATAATAATAACAATAGTAACTGCCACGCAAAGCAACACGTTGCGACCGACCAGTTAAAAACCTCTGAAACCATTGAGAAGAGTCGGCCGTGAATACCGTACCCTTCTAGCTTATAAAGCAGACGTCTGTGTGGGACTGTCGTACGCCTCGGAGAAGTCTAATAGAATAACGTCCCTGGTTTCCTCAGTTGGTACGAGATTTCGCCCATTCGTTAACACGTGATAACAGCTGCGTAACTGTCGAACGGTCTACCAGATGGAAAATCCATGAAACCAGAAATTGGCCCGCAGGTAAAGCTTTGTCGAGCCGTACATTTGCTATAATTCAAACTTTATGTACGCGATTTAATTATCGGGTGAAATACGCTGGCTTTGCCCCCCAAAAACATAATTCTACAGTTCCGTTTAACTATTTGTTCCGCTAATTTGCATGCGATTGATGTTAGTGAAATATGACCGTAATTGTTTCTGCAGTTTTTGCTGCCGTTTTAGACTGCAAAACAGTCGGTCTTTTCTCGTAATAGGTTTAGCGTAGCTTAAGAGTCTCACACGCGCAAAGAGCGCGAGCCTCGCTCTCTACGCGTTTTAAGCCTCGCTTCAGACTTTTTGTTTGACTGCTCGCCCGTACTTGAATAAACAAGAATAAGGACTGTTTTGCAGTCTACTGCTGTTTTTAAATAGAGGTGTTATATCAGCGCATTTCCACTTACTGGGTTATAGACCAAGCGAAGGATTTACGTACTGATTAATGCACACAAACATGGAGAGAGGAACGATCGATGCACATTCCTTACTAATTGTATAGGTTGTTGATGACACGCCCCTTAGATTGTCAATGGGCTTTGAATAGCTTGGGATGGGTTGTTCAAAGCTAGGATAAATAACCCAGGGTTAGTGGAAAATTTTACTTCAGATAGGAAAGCTTAGAAAGCAAATTCTGTTTAAACCTTTTTGTGTATAATTTATGTTTAGATGCTCAAAACAGAAAAGAGAAAATTATCCGAGAAAATGTTTTTGAACCTAAAGAAAAAGAAACCCGGATTAAAATTTAACCCCGAGTTAGCGTTGATCGGCCTTCGATAGCAAACAACTGGGCCCTGATATTTTTAGACGGTCACTTCCTAATTCCCGGGGAAAACGGGAAAGGAAGTGCGTTAATTATCCCTTTAGGGTTGTTGTATCGTAAGCCAAGATTCCGATACCTTTGTGTGTAAAAATTTAAGCTTGGATCATAATACTGTGCTAAAATTCATTAACTTTCTTTCACAAACTCGAGCATAATCAGCTTTTTTTTATGCCAGTGATATTAAGTATTTCTTTTCTTTGGTCGATGTTTTAAGGCTAAAAAAATGATGTCATTTTCTACAGGTTGAATTCGACTCGATTGATCACTCTGCTCCTTGACTCCAAACTAATTTCCGTTCTCTGTCTCATGGGAGATTTTGGATGTGGAGACGGAGGATGGACACCGGTCATGAAAATGGACGGCAGAAAGGTTAAGACAGTTTTATTTTGGATTCTGATCTTTTTCGTTTTCGTGGGGAGGGAGGTGCCATCTTGGCCGCCATCTTGGATTTTACCAAGAATCAGAAATCAGGTTAAAACCGCAAGAAATGGTAATTTTTTGTGCTTGACATGTCAAATAACGCATAAATAATGAGCATTTTGCATCATTTTATGGGAATTTTATCCACAATCTTTACTTTTATTGTTGAAAGAAGTTGAACACCTGTTATTTATGACGTCATATCTCGTAATCATAGTAACTTGACCATCACCGAACTTGTCTCAAAATGCGTGCGAGGGATAAACAAACAGCTACTGGAAACGTCATATGCTGATGTTTTATCGTCTAGGAAAAAACTCCTTGTACGTCCGAGGGTTAAAAAAATTTTTGACGATTAAAAATGCCTTGTTTCTGAGCTTTTTGCATAGTTGATTGCTACCTGGTTTCATGGGCATAGTTGCTATGTTCTATGAGAGAACGATCAGAGGGCCACTCACTTTAGATTTGTCTGGGCGAGAGCCAGTGGTTCTGCCCTTCCGTACTAGTGGCTGCACGCTTTAGTCGCTTTCAAAAAGTGAAGCCAGCCTCGAACACAATTTTTCTTGGCCTTGCCCTTGCGGACCTCAGTTTGGCCTAAAAATAATTTAAGGTGAGGGCTTGGGCCCTCTCGTGTCCTTCCCTTAGATCCGCCACTGCGCATGACCCATTTTAATGCCAGTTTTTCTATCCTTACAGGGAACGTTTCACTACGACTCCAGTCTCTGGAGAAACAAAGAAACCTTCAACCTTGAAGGAGGGAAAACTGGGTTCGACTCACAGGAAACCAAACTTCCCTCCTACTGGAACACGTCCTTCTCAAAGATCTGCCTCGGTATGAAGATAGGTCGGCAGATCAGGTTTATTGTCATCAACAAGCAGGCGAACTCTTTGTACTCTCTGATCGCTGATGGGCAGTACCACGGCACCTCACTAGGTCGTGACACGTGGAAGTCGCTGATTGGTTCTGAGGCCTCCTTGCAACAAAAATGTAACTTGGAAGGGTTTAACGCCATGAGTCCTAATGATCACTCCAAAGCAAGAATTGGTATCCTTGGTAACGAACAAGACGACTGCGGTACCTGTGACTCCAGAATCGGTCTTGGTACTGGAGGATCCCCAGCTCATAACTCTAACACATGTGGAAACGAGGCAATAAGTTCAGCAGACAACGGCCACAAGCATATACAGGCAATGGGTTATATCTTGGTGCAGTAAAACGATATAAATTATTACTCAAACATTTTTGACAATCATGTAAGATCCTTCATGTAAATGTAAGTACTGTCATAAGAAGTGTTGTAACCAATAAATGTTATTAAAAAAAAAAAAAAAAAAAGTAGTCACAGCATTCGGATTCTTACCAACTTGCAGTGCTTCATGTTGTTCCGTAAAAGCGAGCTTTTCAATCGTCTAGTAATAGGAACATGTTTTATTCTAGGTTGTTGTCATGCCAAGGTGGCCGACGAGGGATCTGTTGAAATGCAAGGGCGAACCAGCGATTTTGATCTTATGGCTGGTTACACGGCTAAACTGTAAATACTGGTCGAGTTACCTTGAATATTATTTTTCCTAAGTTGAGGTTAATTATAATAATTAAAGATTTTTGTTGTTATTTCATCTTCAAAGATTTCTTGTACATAGGTGAGTCAGTTACATGACACTCTAAATCTGACACCTCAAAAAATTTGTTGTGAAAAAATTATTGTTAAGAGAATCATGCCCTATTACCGGCCCTGTAAAATTTCTGCTGGTTTATTTTCACTGAATAACACTCAATATACAGAAATTGAAAATAAACTCCCACCAAATCTTATCATAAAATCATCTTCCCAATATTCTTTACAATCATCATTTAACTTTTGATTTTGCGAAACTCAGGCTTGATTATCCCGGTTCCTTAAATTTTCGTCTCTTTTTAAGGGGCTAGAAAAAAAAACCTCCCCTATTAAACGCGCGGATGGGCACCTCTGTACTTTTGTCCCAGCGGATAAATAATCCATACATTAATTTTGACTCTGGTTTCAACCTTACAAGACCTTACAACTACCACCTCTTGATAACGGCCACTTACTTCTGTCCCCAAGCCCCAAGGTGGTAGTGGAGAGGTTTAGTTTGTACGCTTTATCAAAGTGACACAAGTTGATTTTGGATTGCGTGACAATCATACGACATTGTCGGCTTGCATCCCGAAAGGACTGGCCACCAGTTCCAGGGTTGTCACATGGCAGGGAGGAAAACTGCAAGAGGCGACACAAAACAGAAAAAACAAAAAAACAAAACAACAAACATCTAAGAAAATCGCATGTTTACGTCTCTGATTGACGTTGCATTCGATCAGCATCGGACAATACCGCGTTTCTTCTCGATAAACGTGGTAAATAGCGTAAGGCAGACGAGTTTGAAAGACATCTAACTCTTCGATGCCAAGATGGAGCTCTGGAAGTGTTCGGCGTTATCTCTCATCATTTTCGGATTTTTCAGTGCTTTTGCAACAAATAAGCATTGCGAATGGGTGCTAGATGTAGTTCAAAAGGAAAATCTCTCGCAAGTAGCACCTGTAATCATTCCAGGTGGACAATATTTCCTGAGGATTAGAGTGAAATGTGATGACAAGGTAAACTGCGTTAAACTATGATTGTTGATTTCACTTCGAAATTCTATTGCAATGTCATCAGTCTAATAAATGTTTTAAAAAGCCTTGTGCTGTTAATCCACGACTATAGGGGGCTTAAGCAACGACTAAAGCGACGGCAACGAGAACGGCAAAAAGGCAATAGGAAATTTTGATTAGATTTTTTTAGCAAAACAACTCTGCACGTGCATCACGCTTTTTCGTACATTTCTTGCCGTCGTTGCACGACAGCAACGTGAAACTTCCTAACTTTTCGATCGTTTTACGGAGGACGTGAACACAATATAATAGTTTTCTCTTTCTTTTTCTGAAATTAGATACAGCCCAGTTACAATTCAATTCCGAAAAAATTCGCCAACATTTGACAAATTGCAAGAGCTAGAGTAATAGTGATGAAATTGGAAACAGCTCGAATTTACTGTTAGCTGTCGTTGTTGCTTGAGCTCTCTGATATAATGATAAATAATACTTCATTATCATGTCACCGAGACACGGGAATAACACACGGTGAATATTCCGGCATACGTGTTTATAAATCGTTTTAGCACTTGGTTTCATGATAAGCTTAATTCTCTCTACAGATCCATTCTCAAGTGTTGAGATCATTAGTATTAACAGGGGTTAACCCAGTTTTGAACATTGAATCAGAGTCCTTTGGGATGAATCATCACGGTACGAGAAGATTTTCAGTCCTTATTTCAGCTGTACTTACAGAGCTTGGAGATCAGCTGAGCTGTGGATGTCTTTCACGAAAGAAAACAAATAGAATTGGCAGGTAGACTTATGTAACTTTGAATGTTACTGCCCTAACAAAATACAGCTGATGGGCATTTGACTTATCATTTTTATTTTTACTGCTTTTTTTGCGCATGACGTGGATTGATTTATCCTATATTATATTATATTTGTATCCTTTATCCTTAATATGATCATGACAAAGTAAATAAATAAAAAATTTAATTAAATAAATAAATAAATAAATATCCTCTCCCCTTATGGGCTTTTTATGGATGGGTGAACTAATAATTCGAACTGAACATCATCTGGTCAAGAATCAGGGAGGAGGCCGGGTTCAGGACTACGACAACAAATCCAGCTTAAGAGGACACGGGGGAACTTCACCTCTGGGCCACCGGACTCTTACTGCTCAGCCAGCTGCCTTTGAATATATAAAACAATGCTAGCTGCCAATTGCAGTTGCTTTATGAAAACAGAAGTATCTCCTGGTCTGACAAATGCATGCAAGCCAATTGGAAGAGAATCTCACAACTTAAGAGAAGATGACACCATATGGTGGGGCTAAGTTTTGTTTCAGGTGCCAATTCCACTGGGACAGTATTCAACCTCATGGGTAGTGGGGGAGGGGGAGGGGAGGGGAGGGGATTTATCATATTTCAAAAACCTTTGAATGCAGTGGACCTGTCAATGCATAGATAAACTCAACTGGTTCCTTCTTCCCAATTTCTAATATAGAGATGCTAGAGCCAGACTTCACTTGATGCTGGAATTAAAACGAAAGTGAATACAAGGCTGGTAAAATTATACGGTGAAGAGCGGATTTATTTCAGCACCTAATATTTCAGCTTACAAAGTTAGCCTTTCTCAGGGCCAGTCAGGAAGGCTATTTTTTCTAGCCAAGTTATTGGCACCAAATGAAATCAGCCCTTTGCCATATAGTCCACAGTTTCAAGTTTGTTATGATTGACCTCTAAGTAAAAGAAGTGAGGACGCATTTTTTACAGGCTTGTAGCTTCCATCTGAGGTAAATATATACACAACCCATATGAATGTGTTGTTAATGTTTGTATTTAGTGGAAATTTTTTATTCGAAACTGGATTGTTGCTAGTTTTACCACAATTGTTTTCTTTTTTATCAAATCTATAGCAATACTGTGCATATTCTGTTGGGAGTTAACTTATGCTGCCAAATAAAGGTAAAGGAATGCTCTTCCAGAATTTAATCATATTTGGTTAAATTTTTGTTTCAGTTCAAGTGAGTGCTTTTGTAGTGGAATAAAGCCCTTGTGTAAAGAGCCTGATGATATCCGAATGGAACAAGCAGGAGTAGAATGCTGTCAAACTGCAAAGACCTGTTCAAACTTCTTAGAGCTGTGTAACCCAGCCTGGTTTGTCCCTCTCCATATTGCAGACTCAACAAATGCATTGCACTGTGAAGTTGTTGACAGTGGTTTTGGCCCTTATATAAACTCCCAGAGGTATTAAGAAATGTTTGATAACCACAGTGTACATTATCAGTGTCAGTGTCAGACACAGAGCTAAAAGTTGCTTTTTACTGACATTGTTGACTTGCGTTACTAAGTGTGACAAGAGGAATTCAAGAGTACACTGATCTTAGTTCTTGTAACTGGCCTTTGAAATATTTGATACTGTATTGGATGTGGTACATCTACTAATTGCTCTTAAATGGAAAGAATTTAAAAATCTTATGATGGATTTAAAGTTCAGATGATCTGCTTAAAGGCCATGGGAGCAAAAGTGAAGAGATTACTTTCAATAATTGCTTAGACATGCCTTAGCAGAATTATTAAACTCCTTTGATAGTCTTAATATGACAGACCCATGCCATTTCTTTCTTTTGTTGTTCTCGTATTTATTATATTTATTTATTATTTTTTGCGTATCAACCAAACCCTATTTACACTGAGCAACAATTGATCACCTTTTTGAAAATTACAGCAACTTAATTTAAATTTACTGATGCATTCCTTCCTTTTTGGTTTCAGATTGACTTTGCATTTGGACGCCTTTCATTTTCCAATCAATAACACTATTCAGAACAGACTAGGTGATGAGGAAACACAGTTGCCCTCACTTTCCAAGGAGATCTCAGCGAGCTGTCTTCCAAACCTTTCTCCTGTTTGTCTCATCGGATCCCACGAGATGACAAACCATGTTATTTACACCAGTTCAGAATTTGAGAAGATACAGTTCTTAAAGATTCAGGTTAGGTCCATTTCATACTTATAACTCACAGGTATTCCAAACACTGAGTAATTTGAGACCTTAAAACTAATTTTGGTTTCTACTTTTCTGTGTCAAATAATTTTTGAACTTGAATTTTGAGTTTGGCAAAATTTCATTTCATATTTTCTCTCTAGCTTGAAAAGTCTTTTGGAAGAAAGTGTATTCTTGGACAAACTATGCCAACTGTGCAGGTTAAAGGGGCGTTAACTCTACCTGACAGAATTCTTCTGAATACTGATGTAGGTATTGTTTAAGTTCTTTTCAATGTTCAGTTTCCCTCATGATTTGACCACTAATTAAATTATCTAAACATAACTGTTATGCACTGGTGATTGAAATACTTAAAGGGTGTTATAGTGGAAATTCTAAAACGCTATTCTCCTAAACTGTTCACAGTCATCAAATTTTTTCGTAAGATCGTCAGGGTTGAGCTCAATTACCCGGGCAACTATATATCTTGGTTTCACAATATACCGAGGTGGACGGTGTTGGGGTTTATCCTTAGGCTAGACTCTGAACATTTAAAACCAAGATGGCCGGCCATCCAGCAAAGGGATTGATCTCGACAATCTGGCGGAAAAATAGGAGACTATGAACAGTTTTGACTATTCTCCTCCATTTTGCTATGATTAATAAATCTGTTTGTTTGTTTGTTTGTCTTTAAAAGGCGGGTATATTTGAGATGCAAGGTAATGGATTTAAATGTGAGTACCTGATCTTTCTTTGTCTTTAACTAATTACGATACACGTTCAAACTTTGAAACGACTGAAATCGGCATTTCCTTCGTGTACCAGACAAATTAAAAAGGTGAAGTATAACAAGAGAACAAAAACCATGAAACAATAACAAACAGATTTTCCCTGAACAGAAAACAAAGACGTCTTTGTTTTACGTCATCTGTGCCCTGCACACGAAGTTTTGACCCTGAAATCCCAATTACTGGATGCCTCCTGCAAGAACAGGAGTGCAGACGACTGTTTCAATTACAGTAATTAAAAGTAAGATTGAGTAAAGACGGTGGTTATTAATAACTAATTTTTGGCCATCAAGAGAGTCCCAGACAATCTGACATAACTAAAACTTTGAAAATACAGTAGAATATCTTTTTTTATTATAACCCCGGGAAAAGATCTTTAATTAATTGTTGTTTCTTTTCATCCTTTTTTTCCTGTTTAACCCCTGCAATTTTTGGCTAATAATCTCTACTGTTTACTGTCTAAGCCAATCACTTTGCTAAGAGGATCAAATTCCGACTGTTATATACTTTTTTTTTCGTTTTTGCACCAGAGATATATGACATCGTAACAGGACGGAGAGGGCGTCTCTATTTAGTTTTCTGAGTAAGCATCTTGACCAGCTCCGCGTGTTAACTATTTGGGCGAAAATGAAATATGAATTATTTTGTCTTTACTCGACTTAATCATTTACTTTTACCAGCACAAGGTTATGACCATGTGTTGTCTGCTTGTGTGAGCCACGTGGTCGGCCCCGCCCAGTCAACACCTCACAGTGTAACCGTTTTGGGGTTTGGAGAAGAGCAAGACCGAGAGAAGATTTTTGTTGCTTTGCCCAAACGAGGTAGTAAGGCTGTTTGACAATTGTCTCTTGTTGTCTTTCTTCAGTATGCGAGACGAGACACGGGAAGGGCATTTGAATGAATTATAACAGAATTTCTACCCTTCCTTAGACAGCGAGTAGACCTCTGTGTATGTCTGGAAGGGTATGGGAGCGAAATACGCGAGTGTGCGCGAAATGATTTTTACCCACTCTGGCGTGTAGTATCCTTGAATCAAATAGCACAACAAACTCTGGGTTAAGGATTTTAGTCCAATCGCAGTGTTAAGTCCGCCCATCATCATGGCTAGCCGGGTTTTTTAAAACGAACCCACCCGACAATTTAAAGGCCATTTGACTAAAGGAAGTTCATTCAGTTTTGTCTATCTTGCTATCCTTTTGAGTTCGCCTTCCTCGTCTTCTTATATTGAAAACGTGCAAAATCAATTTCTATCCTGCTTTATTGCACCGCTGATATTGGCAAACATCGCCAACGTTAGCTACAACCTCGGACAAAACCTTTTGAGGCACATAATAGTTAAATGAATCTCCTTACTATTGTCACTACTTATTCAAAGATAAATAAAAGCAGTGGTAATCATTGAAAAAAGATAAAATAATTTCCATTTTTGAATTCGTGGACCTGGGGTCAAAGTTGTACATGTTGGGTCTTATAGAAATTATTGGGGTAAATGAACTCAAATTAGAAAGTGAAGCCGGTCGTTTGTTGTTTTTCCAAGGCAAGCCGTGCAGCTTTGAGGAACAGAGAGATTCAAATGGCCATAATGCATGCCAGTTCCTGAAGTCAATGCTCGAAAATACAGGTATGGCCAGTGTCACAATGGTTGTCAGGTGAGGATCCTTGGCTGAGATTGTTGACTTCCCAGCGCCTGTCCTTTTTCTCATCAGGGAACTTATTAGTAAAGAGCTTAAGCAATGAGGGGGGCTTCGGCTACTAAAACGTCACTTAAAAAGTGAATTCGCGCTGCTTCAAACTTTACCGCGCTCATTCCATCTCTTTCAATTCGTCAAATGTTGGCATAGTTTTCTCGAGTTGAATTCTTAAAGACTGTATCGAAGTTCAGGAAAAGAAAAAGAAAGTCGTTTTCTTCTGTTCACGTCCTCGACAAAACGTGAAATTAGGTCCCCCCACAACCCTTAGAGACTTTCTGACAGTTACTAAGCATTCTTTACCGGCATTCCTAGTCATCATTTATTTATTCCTTCATTCTACTGGCAGTGAAGTTTGGAGAGGTATTATAATGGCTTGGGAAAGAGGAGGAACTACAGTTTGGCTGCGTTTTTCTTCCCTCCTTCCCATCAATCACTGCGCAAATACGAGAAGCGACTGGCTATGAGTTAGAGTTCTCCTGTAATAACCTATAATGCAACTATCTTGTATTATTTATTTATTTGTTCACTTGAAGGTAGCTATCCATGTCAGGTAATATCAGGCAGTATAAAAGGAGTTGATGCAGGAACGTTTGTTGTCCTTGTAAAATTGGAGACTCCTTTTACAAGCACGTTTCACTTGATTCAGTTTCAAGGTATTATGATTTATACTTCATCCGAAAAATCTTAATCAAAGGAGTTTGTTTAATCCTCTAACGAGTTTCTGCTAAATCAATTACTTTGTATTGACAAGAGTAGATCCTTCTATCACCTTTATCTTATCATAATTTGAGCACTGCTAAAACGCCAGAAACAATCCCCCATTCCACAAAAATTCCATACCCACGTGATTTGTGGAAAACAGTCACTATTGCTTACACGTGAATTGTGGAAAACAATTCCATGCATTTTGTCCTCCTTGAATCTCGTTACAAAGCAGTTTATCAAGTCCCTTCTTTTTAATTTTTAATTTGTTTTCACTTTATCTTTGCGTGTGTTTAATTTGGTTAAATTTCCCGAGTTTTATCAAAATGTTTCGGCCCTTTTCCTCCAGGGCACCTACCTGGAAGCGGTCAGTGGATTGCATTGTTTCATTTTCCGAGTGCGCTTAAACATGAAGGAGCAGGTAATTATAATAAACTTGTTGAACAACCTCTGGTACCCAGGGTACTGTAACGAAGTCCTAGCCCCCAAAACATTGCGTATTGCATTATTACACTTTACTAACCAATAGACCAATTTCTTGGGACTAAATTTCACGACAACATCATCATGCCTTGTAAAATGGAAAATACCGTATCTAAAAATCTACATTTTTTGTAAAATCCAAAGAATTTGATAGCACCAATAGAGCAAAACTTCTGCTGAAGAGTTTCCACTTGTATGAATGATAGCAGCACAGGAGTTTGGTCAACAATTTAAAAGTTAGAGAAACAAACCCGCAAGTTTTCAGGAGTAGGAGTGTAGCTATAGCTTACGATAGTCTTTTCCAGGCGTTCAAATAGTAGAGAGTGGGCGAAAAATTACCCTCGTGTTTTCCGCACCATCTGCTAAGCCTGCGAGAAATTTCTCCATTTCTGGAGAACAAAGCTAGTCGCGAGAGAAAACGAACAAGCGAGCCGTGAGGGGCGTAGGAGTAAAATCTTTCTTGGCTTCTCGCTCTCGCGTCTTCTTGGCGTACCGTTCGCGCTTGACTTCCCTAAATTATTAAATGGAGAGTTTGCTCGCAGGCTCAAAAAGGGGTGAGGAAATCTTATAAGTTCACTACTAACCAGAATTTTATTTCGTTTTTGTTACAAGAACATGTCGAATGGCAGAAAATCGAATCTGAGTTCAGTGTTGAAGCGAAGTCTGGAACTAGGTCGCTATTACTGCTTGGTTTAACATTTACGACAGTGGCTTGCCACAGTTTGTTTGTGTGGGGAAATGCTTTGCTTTACAGGTACAGTTATTATCCGCTGCCCTCAGGCTTTTTGGGGATAATTTACTGCGCTTGTTGGGGAACTTTTACCAGACTGCTTATGGTGCAGTTTATAAGTAACGAAGGAATGAGTAGTTACCTTTCAAATGTCGAAGGAATGAGTAGTTAGTATTTCAAATGTCGTCTTATTCACGTGTATCCACGTCATGTGTATGCATAATTAATGAAAAGACAAAAGGCAAATTCCCTGGAGAACATCACGTGGTATGAATCGGGAAAACAAAACATACAAGCTAAAAAGTTCTATTAACGGGGTGTCCGTATTAAAGAAGGCAATTCTTAAACAACAATTAAAGGAAACTCATGGTCATGTGGTACAAATTGATGTTTGTGGTTTTCCTTCAAAGGGATTCTAAATCTCAGCTTCAGGTATTAGCCTGCTTAACACGGACATCTCTCCTGACACTGGCTCCTAACTCTAGTGAAAGGCCACTGATATGTTCTACAATCTAAGTTTTAAAATATCAATACTTCAACGGTTTTTGTTTTCACATAATTTTAACGTTCACTTTTTTCTTATTTAAAATTTTTACGTGTTATTATTTAGTATCATGTTGCACGCTATTCTTTATCTCAAATTGTAACGTCGTCTTAGCTTAACCTCATCATGCCTTCCGAAATATTGGTAAACAATATGTATATTCCGGACTATAAAATCAGCCTAGCTTCTTTTGTTTAACCTAATTTTACTTTGCTTCACTCAAAGCCAAGCGCGTCATTGGTTCTCTTTAAGGGGGTAGTTTCTGATTTCTTTTAATAATTTCAGGCTGATGTGAGCGCAAAATTTTTTTGTCACGAAAACGGCCATACATTGCTAACAAACATGCTCGTCGCTGATTTGTCTGTTAATTCCTACGGGATGTTTGTTTTTCTTACTCAGCCCAGACGGCGGACACTCCTTTCACTGGCTCATTAACTTTCCCGGAAACTCGAGTATAATGGTGTTTACTTTATCTCCGTTCGATGGAAAGTTTGCTTTTCTCACAGATGATCAACAGGTATTTTTATGCTTATAGCGATTAAGAACCCTGTTAGAATCACGACGGACTTCGGCAGAGTCAGTGTGGTGTGTATCAGAAACGGATAGCGATGGATAAAGGATAAACCAATTTCAACGTTTGGGAAAAGGCTGCTGTGTTTGGTTAATTCTTCCCCTTCTGTGCACGACTGAGACAGCCGAGTCAAAATAACGTAAACGATGGAGTCAAAAGTGGTGGGGGAAGAAATTGGAGTCGTCCTGATCCTTGCAAATGTGATTTGCTAGAGCTCCGTTTACGACCCTCCGATTTTTGATATAATTTTGGATCCACATATACTTAACCTTTAAATGAAAATTTTCCTCACTTACTTTCTAAAATACCACGCAGCTTTATTTATTTTTTCCAGTATTAGGAGACCTTCCCTTTCAGTTTGTTTTGAAAAAGGAACTGTATGAAGTGGCGACAAGCAATTGCTCGCTCTAATAATAATGAATACTGTGCCGCTGTACCCTGGGTATCAGGGGTACAATTTACAAAAATAGAGAGATTACATGTAAGAGTTAAGTTTACAACAAAAGGCAAACAACAGATTCAAGCTGAGAATTTCTCGGAATAGAACATAAGCAGATAAAAACTGTCCACAAGAATTCTTATGGATAAAGCTCAGGCTTGAAACTACAGTAAACGCGACAATTAAGGAAAACTTGGTCACGTGGTACAAATCCACGTTTGCCGTTTGGCGTAAAGGTGACTCTTAATCGCTCTAATAACAATTTGTTGTCGTGACAGGTCTGGATTGGCCAATCGGGTTCGTCAAAATTACAACGACTGAAAAGCAGTATGGGACCCAAGGGGCTTTCTCCAGAACACTTCAACCTTAAAGAAGCATTTATTTTGTCGATATTCTTTGATTCAAGTGGACTATTGCAGCAGGTTGGTAAAAATGCTCTGGAAGGAGAATTTTTTGTATTTCAAGGCTGAAAGGGGATGAGGACATGGTTCTGTGGTCATCAAACCTAGGATTTCAAGTTGAAGAAAGCAATGTAAAAGTCTCAACCAATTATTTTTTAAGGAATTTCTTTGATATTCAGATTCAGATGAATAATTGTTTGAACTAAATTAACTTTTTTTGATCTAATTTCACTACCAGGTAATAGTAGAGAAAGATTCCACGGGTGAAACAAAATGCATCTCTCGCGAAGAAATACCAGTGGCCAGTATCATTTCACGACAACTATATACACAGAAGCAACTAGAAAACCTAAGAAGCAATAAAAAAGCAAGTGCAAATTCAGCGTCTTGTATCCAGGACCAAACAGTGGAACACCAACAGTATATCGGAGAACGCGCATGTCCGTTCACAAGAATTGCTTTTGAAGCAAAGCATGATGTTTTGTACACAAGAAAATGCTTTTACAAATTTGAGCCGTCTGTCCAGTGGGACGGTGGACTTATTCAGGGTCGTGATGCACTTCACGATTACTACACTAGAGTGTCCCGAACTATGAACTCGGAATGCGCTGGTATTAGTACAGATACCCGGCAGTCTATGAGGGATTATCTACCATTGCTGATTTATCTTGGACGCTCCGAGCGGTACTCGTTTGTTTTTTACCTCTATCTCGACTCTGACATTCAAGAAGGTGGGTCTTCAAAGGCAGCGCAGTCTTACCAACATCCACTTGGTGTTCTGTGCTTTTTCTGGCCTGTCGCTGTTATTGTCTAAAAAAAAAAAAAGGCCTCGCTGTATTTGTTGTTTGCAACGTCAGTCTCAGAATGTAGCTCTGGCGCCGAGGGAGGCTAATTTTGTTACCGAAATATCGTCCCCAGTTATAAATCAGCCCCGTTGCCATATTATATATTCCCAGCCTTGCATTCAGTTTTGTTTTGAAAAGCAATCTGATCTTTAATCTCATGGATGAAAAGAGTCGGCTTAGAAGTTACAGTTTAGGTGGAATGTGGCTTCTGAAAATTGAAATTGTGTATCACTTTAAAAAAATCAGTGATTTTGTTATGTTTAAGATTTTTTGGAAGTGTGCGCAGAGTAACACATTTCCTGGCATGGCAGCTACAAAAGTTTTATTTTACAGTGTATAAGGTGTAGCACGGTTATAGTTAATTTTAGAGTGATAACGAGTGACTGCTTGCAGTGGGCTAATTTTTTCTTGTTTTGTTGCAATTAAAATTTTGTTTATGCTCAGATACAAGTGAGTATGCTTGGAATCTTGTACACCTGCAGGCGTCACTTCACGTCTCGGACACCATGTTTTGTAATTTGACGTCTCAAAGGACAGAACTTATTCCCCAAAAAGCTGTGAAGTATGAGGTAAGATCATCTATCCTCCGTTTGTAAATTTTACCTTATGAAAATGGTCAATTTAATTAAGAGCTGCAGCATGAGTCATGGCTCGAATTCCGGTCCTATAGAGAGCGAAAGAGTACAGAATGTAATACTGAAAACTGCAGGAAAGTTAAATAAACACTTATTTTGAAAAGCTAAAATTTCGTTCCAAGCAGGCCATACTTTGATACACATTCCCTTATAGAAAAAAAAATTCTAAAGGTTTCCTGAATTATATTCGTATATACTAAGTTTAAAAAAATACTATTTTTATATTTACATGAGTCGATAATCGGCTTTTTTATCCTCTCAGAATACGACTCCGCTTTTGTCACCTCTTTTGACAAGCACTTAATGCTGTTTGAAGGTGCTAATGGTTTAACACTTCTGAAAATGAAGCCATGTTGAATTATCATAACAGGTTACTTTGCAAGACAACGGGCTTAGACTCCCACAGCAACGTTCAGGGGAAGGACTCACTCCTACTTCCTTACATATCCAGGTAATGAACTAAGCCTTTTTTTATTCTCCTCATCCGCCTGTTACATGTATGGTCAGCTTGGTTGTAATTTATTCTCCTGAATTAAGCGGGTTTTCACACTTCTGCTGTTGCATTGTGCACTCTATATCAGTACCGGGTGCCAGGTCGGTACGCGGAAACAGCGCGCGGGGCAACTGAAAGGATGCAAACCCGAGCATCACGTCTCAACCCCACCGGCTCTGCGTTCGTGAAAGCATTGACGCCAAGGGACGAGTAAGATTGGCCCACAAGTCTATTGACAAATAGCCTCCTAAGCAAACGTTTTTGGTGGGAGTCGTAATCGTATTTTGTGGGGAGGGAGAAAATACGGCTCCCCGAAAAATGCCTGCTTTAAAATAGCTGTACTTGATAAGCGACTTGGTATAAATATTTCCACCCCAGCTGGGATAGGATTTCTTCATTGGTCAGTAAACCTTGTCTCAAACGATATCCATTCTCCTTCTCTTAGGTTTGGAATTCCGCGTTAACTTGTAGCTCCAGTTATGGCAGGAAAGGATTTCTTGAGGTAAAAGCTATCTGGTCCTACACTGCGTAGTTTCATTACTGATTACTTCGGCGGTTCTAACACTTAGAGTTATTTGATTTGCTGTATTTTCAAAAACCAAAGCCAATTGTGACGCGCTCGCATGCATTTTCCCGCGCTTTGCGTTAGCCACATGTAATTACTTCGAGTTTTGATTGGTTCAATGTATTGTCTGTGTCCTATGTGATTGGCCAGAGTAATTACTTTGGTTTTGGTTTTACGACACTCAAACGAAAACCACTCTATTACAAATATTTTTGTTGTCTTCCAGGGTTCTTACCTAATGACAGTGTTGCTCGGATGCCCTGCGGGCCTCAAACTCGTATTTGATCCCGACGCCTCCAAGAACGCCACGGGCAAGGAACATTTCTGTACTCCTGTTGATGGCGTGCCGTGTTTTTACTTCTACCGAGGTAAGCTGTCAGTATTTGAAGTACCTAACTGGTTATAGAGAAACCTTGGAGTGGCCATCTTGGGCTTACGATGGATGGATGACGAACAAACTGTTAAATTCTGATGCCACTCTGCAATGGTCTGAACTCTATTTTCGCTACCCGTGGACCATTGTAGCTCTGCTGACGAGGTGTAAGGCCAAAGATTTCAGTTCTTTCTCGGTGCGCGCTCTCGTTCATGCGCAGTAGCATTATCCTGCACCACAGACGAAACGAAACCTCTGGTTATGCCCGTCTGCGAAACAGTACCGGAATCCTTGTTCTTGTCCTCCACCTGAGTACCAGTATTTGAATGAGTACGCCCCTTGATTGGCATGTTAAAAAAGCCATTGTCAATTTGCCAATCATGCATTTCCGGTATTTCGTTGAGTCCGGTTGGTGGTGGTTGGGCTGGGAGGGGGTGGGGGGAGGGAGGGGAGAGGGGGAGCCCACAACGAGTTTCTCTGTGCTGCTTCGCAGATGTTACCAGTCTTCGACGCAGGATATTAAGTAGCACTTACACCGGATAAAATGACTCTCGAGTTTTCTATTCCTTTAATTAATTCGACTTTCTTTATATGTTACCTGGTCAAATTTGATTCCTCAAGTTTTGTTTTAATCATTTTCGCTTTCCTTTCCTTGGCAGATTTTCTTCCTGTTTTCAAATTGATGGACCTCGCTACTGGGCAGATAAGTCAATTTCATGGAAATTACAGACTGACAATAGTTGGAGGAGGACTGACTTACCAGTCGGTAACTGATTATACGGAGGAAGAACAAATAAAGTATAACTACCAGACTACGAGGTAAAACTGGGCCTTATTTCTCAATTTTGTTGCCGAACTATCGAAACTATGGTTCTATTTCATACTGAGCCGTGTTTTCATGTAAAATGTGATCTAATGTGATCCACTTAAAAGAGGGAGAGCTTTGTTGAAAAAACAATTATGAGCTCATTCCCCGGAAGCAACAATAAGAAACAACTTTGTTGTAATTAATTTGGCCACGATTGTGGCTAGTTTTAATTGAATAATTAGCAAACTTAAAACACAGCAATAAACATTTTTCGTGCTTGAGGTCTTGTTTTTAAATGAGGCGACAAAACACCTTCAGTCTTAAAAAGTGATACTAACCAAGCAGCGGGATTAATAAACGTGGTTATAAAACCGCTGGAAGATGGTGAAAAAGGGAAGGGGGCAGGAAAATATTTTCTGGGGATCTGTTCAATCTGATGCCAACAAGGAGAAGAGGGAAGAATATCTTGCTAGAACTCTGTAAGGCTTAATATGTAGTGGTAACTAATTTTGTGCTCATTTGTTTCGTTTTAGCTCAATGGCATTCTTGATCTGGGCGTCGAAACTGAAGACATTAGGTGACATACCTGTGTTTAACAGCAAAACAAATGGCATTAGGTTAGGACCATGCTTATGGTGCTTTTAGGAAGAATTTTCTTGAGCATGATGCTCCGAAATGTGTAGTACTTTTTTTTAAGTTCGTTTCTGAATCCGGTCTGCAAAAAAAAAAAAAAATTTGGGCCCTTTGAGCCTCAGTTTGGTCTAAAAATAATTGGGGGGCTGGCCCCCCGGGCCCCTCCCCCGGATCCACCACTGCATGATAGAGGGTAAATTAATGGATGAAGAAATTTGACGCTACACTAACTGTTTTTAATTTCAGTTGGTTGTGCGGCACGCAGAGCCCTTGTGCTGATGTTGGACCTAATTTTCCTGGGAATGCTGAGTACTACTTCAAACTGGAATTTTCAAACAGGTATCGCGTAGCAGAAGTGGAAAGTACTTGAATGGAACACATAACGAATACCGAATCGTTTCCTTTGGAACTGAAATTTCTAGTAGAGTGAAACTTACCGTGAATTTTAGAGAAGGAAAAGGGGGCAGGGGGTTGATTTGGACGGAGCGGGGATTGGTTTTAGTTTTCATTCTACTTGGTGGGGATACATTTTGGAGGATTGATGAAAGGAGACCAGTAGATGATATTTCATGGCTAATTAATCGTTAGTAACACCTGTGATTCTTAAGGATCGGAACTTATGACTTGTCACAGTTCAACTTGTCCTCCGAGCAGGTGAGTAATAATAGAAGTAATTATTTCAGGGAAGTTTTTTAGCTTCCCTAAAAATTGAAAGAAATGAACTTCAAGAAAACGGGTTTTGTCTGCACCCACATAAAAACGTTAATTACTAATTAAGGGTTTTGACTATTAAAAAGGTCTTATAAACTTTCCGACAGTTTTTAGACTTTCTTTAAATAACACGTTTTGATTAAGTCAGATAACGCCATGAAACAAACTGCTTTTCATACAAAAAAATTGCTTTTGTCTTTTTAGGCTAGTAGATGCTGATTCCTCTAACTGTGATTTTACAATCCGTTTTGTGATCCGCGTTCATGGTTTGCCCCCAGGTTCGTTTAACCCATCGTCAGTTATTGTTCTGGTAAGTACTCCCTCAATTAAAAAAGCGGAAAGACGGTTATCTTGACTTCCCTGTATCTCAGCACCGGAAATTGTTTATGCTAGAGAGCTTTAGATTCTAAGACTACAGGACGACAACGAGGACGACTGATTTTCTCAATATTAAGTAGTACGCACGCGTGAACCAGCGTCATTTTGGCGGGAAAACGATTCTCGGGTCTGGGGACGACTGGCTGGGAAACGCAATAGCCGTTTTCAATCTACTACGAATTTCAGTGAGATAGTGATGGAAACAAGTTATCCAACGTTAGAAGTCAGTTAAATATCATCTTGCGATTACTTTAATTTGAGATCTCTAGAAAGTGTAGGTGTTCTATCAACTTGCAAATAAATTTCCGCTGCGCTGCGACTTCTTAAATTATACTTTCTCCATATCCATGGTTTGTTTCATTCTTTCTCTAAAAAAGTTACTTCCTCGAATTTTGTTACACGGCAGTCGTGACAGGGTAACCTCAGTCAGTACATCATTTAATTGTGGGGAGGGCGATCGTGGGCTCGATGCTCTGGGCCGAACCAAAACATGTGGTCTTAATGGAGAAAATAAAATAAAGGCACTGCCATTTGCTCTGCAAACGACCACCTAACAACGTAGCAAGGTGTCTCGAAGTAATTCATATGAAACCAATTTCGCAAAGGCGGGAAAACAGCTAGAAATTGGCTTAGTTTTATCTGCTGATTGGTCGAAACCCCGGGTCGTATTTTTTCAGCCAATCACAAAGCGTCGAAAACGTCAAAACAACCAATCAAGCAGGTAGCTACGGTAATAAGCCGATGACTAAGGAAAATAGCATTGTGTTCACATTTTAAAGTAACAAACGAACGGTACAGTGGTATATCAAGTGATCAGACTGTCCAACCATCCCGATCACGTCGAGATTGTCCCTATTTTGCTTGAAAATCTCCAATCCTGACCAATATGCGATCGGGATAGGAAAAATCCCGATTTTGACATCTATGATATTTCATATGAATTCTTATGATACTTTTACAAGAACAGAGTATACTTAACTGAAAAAACGAAATATAATGTATGACCCAGCTGCACTTGTTCTCGAAAACAAACATAAATAAGCATGAAAATGACAATTGATTTAGCAAATATTTTAGACAGAAATTGCCCTCTCAGAACACTAGAAATGGCGTTTCAAAGCATCAAGATTTCAAAACTTTCTGGGCGACTCGCGCCTTCAGCGGTAAGTGAAAAATATCCCTATTTCACTTACTAACTAAAGGTTGGACAGTCTGAGTGCTAGTGATCCTTTTATGTCTTATTCTTCTTGCAGTCTTGTATTGGTATCCTAGGCAGTCTAATCTTGATCTTCTTTGCACTGAAAAGACAAGATGCCCGTCTATGGGATCAGTTAAAGAGTTTGTTTACGAAGAGAATATTCGGGACGTGCAGGGAGAAGATATACAACATACGCAAGAAAAACAAGATCAATCCCCTTGGTGACCAGCTTCGGCTACAAACTGTTGGTCGAGGTAATGCTTAAATCTTCCCTCATCGGTAAAAAGTCCTCATCGAAGCTCCAAGTGAGTTGGTATCTGGCAAAATCACCAAAAGTATGGTAGACTTCTAATGAATGCTTTTTAGTTGTTTCCCAGTGCGTATGTATTTTCTCAAGTTTACTGTTAGGTTTAAAATACCTTTCAATTTGAACAAAAAACAAGCCAGTAACTAAAACATGTCTAGGATTTTTTAAGGTTATCAGTAACTATATTTTTATTTGTGTTTTTTTTTGTTTTTCTTTTATAGATCCCGGAGGGGCTGATGGCTTCGTGGAAATCAAAGGAAGTACAACGGCTGCACAAGTTTCAGAGACAATTCTTTGAGGCGAAAAGGATTGCTTCACTTCGTCTATACTTTGTACACAAAGATTATTACTTCTAGTCTTAACGTTACTTCACAAAGCCTCAACTTACTTCAAGTGTCATGGTTCCGCAGCCGCTGTGATCGCACGAGTCACTGTGTTGATAGTTTTAGCGTTCTGTTCAGTCCCATCTGAAAACGGACAGAGCCATGCATACATGACACAACATGCATGAGGCTTACTTCTAGCCCACATTACAGGGCCGGAGTTATGCAGACTCTTACCTTTGAAGAATTCATCGCTTCATGCAAACTTACGGATTGTTTTCAGATAACTGAGCAAGCTTCATTGTAGAAATCGACTTAAAGGGTGTACATTTCAGACATTTTCGCTTCGTTTTACTAGGTCTAAGGATTATATTCGCATCCGGCCTAAGTGCTTGTTCATGGACACGTTTTTAGTTGTTTTACAGTTATATCGAAATTATAGTGGTTTGTTTATTGAAAATTAATGTTTATACCTTGGCGGTTTGGGGGCTAAGGTGGCCCAAAAAGAATTGAAAAATTAAAGAAGGGTCATTCAATCCTGAAATACTGAACTATTCTAATTTTCTTTTGGACTGCTTTTGGCCTGTTTATCACCCGTAACCAGCCTTTACGCTCTCTTTTATCATGAAAGACAGACCCTGGGTATACTACAGCTTTGACAGCATTGACAATTTTGGCGTAAATTCTTTACTGACACCTTTATACGAGACCGGGGGCGTGGGTACTACCAGGAGCCCATGGGCTCCTTGTACTACCTATAATGGCCTATATGGGGAGACTTCGCCCGAAAGGGGTACGGCATTTTCGGGCTCCGATCAGGTATATCAAAGGGTAGGGTTTTCTCTAATTGAAGTATATTTAAGGGTAGGGAAATCTGTCATTACGGTCTGTAAAAAACACCTAAAAGGGCCAGAAGGATTTTATGGCTGAGAAAAATAAAGGAGAAAAAAATTTACCGCTTTTAAAATTGTGACCTTCCACAGGAATTTGATGCTAAAGGTGAAAGCACGCGCACGACACGCTTGCACGACACGCTTAGCGTGCCGTAGATCACGGATATGCGCATATTAAATTGAAAAAACAAAGACGGACACACTTGCCTTTGTTTTGGCAAATTTAACACGCTAGACCTTTTGTTTTTTTGTAGCGTGCCATATGTCACGGTAAGTGTGCGAATTATAGCACGGTTAGCGTGCAATTTGGGTAAGACACAGTGAACACGCTTGATTACTAAAACCGCTAAGATGATAAAAATGGCTTGGGTTTTCAGCGGATTTAATCAGCATTGATGACTGATCGAAGTGAATCAAATATACCAATTGAGACTGTTTTGGAATTTGATAGTAACCGTGGCCATTTGAAAATCACGACTTAATGGTGGTCCAGCCTGGAATTAGCGCGAGATCAGTGTAAACCAATTCCTCCGGCTGTCGGCTGTTGACCGGAATCGCAAAGAGGCCTGCTATCGCATACGAGGCACTGAAGTTATGTCGCCTGAAAATTATAGTTATGCCACCGGAATATTTATTAGCAGTAATGCACAGAGAAATGAAGTTGAATAAATTAGTTTAATATATTTCTTTAAGCCATGCTGAGACGAACGAAGGTAATTAAATCGGAGAAACAAAGACTATAGGTTGAGGAAGGCTAAACATTTCTAGATGACCGTTCCATGCATGTACAATTTTCGAAGGTTATCTAATAAATTCCTTACGATTTTCTGAAGTTTAATTTTTTCCATTTCATTCCCCAGTTAAGCTATTTTTCGTAGAGAATTAAGAAATCCTAAAATTTTCGGAACCGTAAATACGATAAAATTCTCACTTTCCTGAAACTTTCAATTGGAAGCTAAATTTTTCGGGAAAACAATGCTGAAGCCCTTTTAATTTCGAAAAGACTGAAGTCGTCCTAGGATGTTAGGATGCATTTAGGAGAAAATCGCCGTCAGGTGCCCCTGACGAACGAAGCGCTATAAATCATAATTTATGTGAAGATATCTCGTTACGCTATGCTAAGACGAATCAAGCGCTGTAAACGTGTACTATATCTCGTTCTTCACAGGACGAAAAAAATAAGAATCTGTAAACTAAAAACACTGTAGAATGAGGGAGGATTGCGGGCGACTTTTCTTGAATTTTGGGCGACAAAACTCATATTTAAGAATAAAAATCAAAATTCAAAATTTTTATCGTTGATTTTTATTCTTAAATGTTTATTGCAAGCGTCTGTTATTAAAACTCATATTATCAGGTTTTGGACGACATAACTTCAAACGACATCACTTTCGAGTAGCTTGACCGTCACCCCTTTAGATCGAGCTAAAGTTCTTTCCATTTCTGGAAAGAACTTTGATTTTGCAATGCTAATATAGTTCTACCCATAAATCCAGTAGGTCACACCGTTCACTGTTTATACTTTTCAAGCGACAACGTTTTTTCAATCAGATACTATCGCTGCGATCGCTGAGGTATAACTTTTTCTTTCTTATAGTTACCAAAAAAGGGTGCCGTTCATAATCATTTGCGGTTCCTTTTTGTACAGGAAATTTATTTAGCTTATAGATAACACGCCTTGCGTGCTTTTGCGCACACTGAAAACGTGTTGTGCTTTTTCGCACGGAGCTTTTGTTTGAAAACTTTAACACGTTCTTTTGTTCGACTTGTTCGCGCTTAATTGTCTCAAGCGTGTCCTTTGAAACAAAAGAAATTGCTAATGAGGCAAGATTGCAAGCGTGCTAAAGTGTGTTAAAATAAATTCTTTTGTTTTAAAGTGAAAGCGTGTCGTGCGCGTGCCTTCACCTTTAGCATTAAAATCCTGTGGAGGGTCAGAATTTATTCCGCCTACATAAAAGACAGTGAATTTACAGCAGTTAAAAGGGATTCAAAGTTTTAAACTAGGTATTGAAAAGGAAGGTATACGAAAGGGGCACCTTTTCTGTCAAAAATGGAGTATAAGAGGGTAAGCGGTTTGACCTCGGGGCCAGTATACTCGCTGCAAAATGGCTGTGCACTTGATTTTCGCTCCCAATTCAAGGAACTGCCCACGAAACCTCTGATCTGAAGCGAGTTTGAGACTAGCCGGGGTGGCAGGCAAGCTTGACTCCTTTCTCGCCTTGACAGCTGCGATTTTGGAAAAAAAAATTGATGGCGTTATAGATCTTATCCGAGTTCTTTGTTGGACTTTGACAAGCAGATCGACAAGGCTAGTGTTCGTTAATTATCAAGTTTACGAAATTTCTGGAAATTCAAACGGCGGTCTATTCTGAAAACGTGGCGAGCACAAAAATGTTATTCCTTTTTGTGTTTTACTATCATTCCTAGATTGTATTCATACAGATAGCGAAGTTCAGACAGGTGCCACACTTTTCAAAATTACCCTCAAAGTTGAGCTACTTTCGTGTTTTGATGGAAAGCCGAAAACACGTGCTGGGGAAAAAATCATTGCCGTTGAAATAAACAAATAATTCGGAACTGTGATATGGCTAGGAAATCTACAGTGAGAATATTCGGGACGTGCAGGGAGAAGATATACAACATACGCAAGAAAAACAAGATCAATCCCCTTGGTGACCAGCTTCGGCTACAAACTGTTGGTCGAGGTAATGCTTAAATCTTCCCTCATCGGTAAAAAGTCCTCATCGAAGCTCCAAGTGAGTTGGTATCTGGCAAAATCACCAAAAGTATGGTAGACTTCTAATGAATGCTTTTTAGTTGTTTCCCAGTGCGTATGTATTTTCTCAAGTTTACTGTTAGGTTTAAAATACCTTTCAATTTGAACAAAAAACAAGCCAGTAACTAAAACATGTCTAGGATTTTTTAAGGTTATCAGTAACTATATTTTTATTTGTGTTTTTTTTTGTTTTTCTTTTATAGATCCCGGAGGGGCTGATGGCTTCGTGGAAATCAAAGGAAGTACAACGGCTGCACAAGTTTCAGAGACAATTCTTTGAGGCGAAAAGGATTGCTTCACTTCGTCTATACTTTGTACACAAAGATTATTACTTCTAGTCTTAACGTTACTTCACAAAGCCTCAACTTACTTCAAGTGTCATGGTTCCGCAGCCGCTGTGATCGCACGAGTCACTGTGTTGATAGTTTTAGCGTTCTGTTCAGTCCCATCTGAAAACGGACAGAGCCATGCATACATGACACAACATGCATGAGGCTTACTTCTAGCCCACATTACAGGGCCGGAGTTATGCAGACTCTTACCTTTGAAGAATTCATCGCTTCATGCAAACTTACGGATTGTTTTCAGATAACTGAGCAAGCTTCATTGTAGAAATCGACTTAAAGGGTGTACATTTCAGACATTTTCGCTTCGTTTTACTAGGTCTAAGGATTATATTCGCATCCGGCCTAAGTGCTTGTTCATGGACACGTTTTTAGTTGTTTTACAGTTATATCGAAATTATAGTGGTTTGTTTATTGAAAATTAATGTTTATACCTTGGCGGTTTGGGGGCTAAGGTGGCCCAAAAAGAATTGAAAAATTAAAGAAGGGTCATTCAATCCTGAAATACTGAACTATTCTAATTTTCTTTTGGACTGCTTTTGGCCTGTTTATCACCCGTAACCAGCCTTTACGCTCTCTTTTATCATGAAAGACAGACCCTGGGTATACTACAGCTTTGACAGCATTGACAATTTTGGCGTAAATTCTTTACTGACACCTTTATACGAGACCGGGGGCGTGGGTACTACCAGGAGCCCATGGGCTCCTTGTACTACCTATAATGGCCTATATGGGGAGACTTCGCCCGAAAGGGGTACGGCATTTTCGGGCTCCGATCAGGTATATCAAAGGGTAGGGTTTTCTCTAATTGAAGTATATTTAAGGGTAGGGAAATCTGTCATTACGGTCTGTAAAAAACACCTAAAAGGGCCAGAAGGATTTTATGGCTGAGAAAAATAAAGGAGAAAAAAATTTACCGCTTTTAAAATTGTGACCTTCCACAGGAATTTGATGCTAAAGGTGAAAGCACGCGCACGACACGCTTGCACGACACGCTTAGCGTGCCGTAGATCACGGATATGCGCATATTAAATTGAAAAAACAAAGACGGACACACTTGCCTTTGTTTTGGCAAATTTAACACGCTAGACCTTTTGTTTTTTTGTAGCGTGCCATATGTCACGGTAAGTGTGCGAATTATAGCACGGTTAGCGTGCAATTTGGGTAAGACACAGTGAACACGCTTGATTACTAAAACCGCTAAGATGATAAAAATGGCTTGGGTTTTCAGCGGATTTAATCAGCATTGATGACTGATCGAAGTGAATCAAATATACCAATTGAGACTGTTTTG